TTGGAGTGTTTGATTGCTATTTTTTTCATGAAAAATATTTTTCAACTTTTAAAATTATGCCTAATTTTCCTTGTTTTTAAGGAAAACATTTTTCTCGGATAGAGGTGGTTTTTATTTTCTACAAAAGGTGGAAAATATTTTCTTTTTTAGGTTATATTTTTCATGCCTATCAAACATACTCTTAGTATAACTCAATTGAATAATTGGGGTTTTATGTATAAAATGAGAAAACAATTGAAAATATTTTCATCTTTAAAAATACATAGGGTGGTTAAGTCTAAGATTCATAAAAAATAAACCCTAGTTTGATTTTGATTTTCTAGAATTGATTGTATAAATTGATATTTAAAGACAGCGTGATTAAAAAGTAGGAAAAGTTATAAGTTCACGTACAAAATGATTTTTTTGGGAAAAATATGTAATTAAAATTAAGTTTGAGATAATGTGATTCAGGGGGAAAAAATCTGTAAATCAAAAAAGATTCCTTCCAACTTCATGATTATCAAGTATTAATTATATGATCAAAATTTTTTTTTTCCCTCTTAATGGGGGGAATCAAATTTTTGTGGTTCAATTTAAGTCCCTTTAGATTCCTTTTCCCATTACTCCACTGAAAAATACCCGTCCAGTTTGTCTTTTTGTTTTTAAAAAATCTTTAGAAATAACACCACACAATAGGCAGTAAAAACAAACAAGGTAAATATATATTTAAAAAAAAAAAAGAAAAAGAAAAAAGAAAAAGAAAATGACTTCTTTATGTGCACCCCACATTTTCTCCACATTATCACCTAACCCATTAAAAACTCACGCCTTCCCCCCACCACCCCACTCTTCTTTCTATACATGTGCGTATATACAGTAGATTTCTCGATAGGTCCTCAACCTTTTGACTCTATGTGCACAGCATCCCTATCTAACATTTTTTTATTTATTTTATTATTTTTTATTTTTTATTTAGATGTCAAATGCCCACACGACACACACGGGCATGTCTCGCTAAGCAGGTGAAATTGTCTAATTTTTTTTTTTTTTTTCTCTATTTCTGAGAATCAAATGGTCACAGTTTAATCCCCTCTTTAGTGGATATTAACACAAGATTTTGGTAAAATTGCAGCAGTGGTCCCTAATCTTTTCATTTTTTTAGATTTTACCCTAACATTCATTTTTTGCCAACAGAGCTTCCTAACCTTTCATAAATATGTACTTGAGGTCCATCTGGATAGAAATCATCCAAAACACTGTTAGTTGATCGGAAAAATTAAGGATTCAACATCCAATAAAACCGTCCAACACACCATCCAAAAATATCGTTCAAAAAAGTATCAATATTCAATACAATCGTCGTGGTAGTAGATAGTTCAAGTTATTTTTCCAGTCAATTGACGGTGTTTTGGACGGTTTCCGTCCAGATGGACCTTAGGTGCATATTTATGAAATGTTAGGGACCTGACACAAAATGAAGGTTAGGATAAAGTCTGCAAAAAAATAAAAAGGTTAGAGACCGTTGCTACAATTTTCCCTAAGATTTTTTTTACATTTTTATAACAATTGATGAAATATGTGGTTGAAAAGTTGCGGGTTCTATGAAATGTGGTTTAAAATTAATTGTTTATATTGATTAAAATCTAGACTTTAATTTTTACCAAATAGGGACTAAATGTCGATAATTTTTACTAAGACGTCATCTGGATGTTGTTCCTTAACGACTAAATAGACGCTTTCCATTAGGTAAAGCTACTGCGCGGCATTTTTGTTAAAAAGTTAGTTCACAACTGTCACACTTACAAAAAGTTGGGGTCCCGAAGAAATTTACTCATATATGTATATACACAAAAATACACATAGAAACACGTGAAAGTAACATTAGCCAATAGTATATACCTTGGCCACCATTTTTAACCGTGCTTTAATCATTGATGTATCCACCACAGGATAAACATTGCCAGTGTTACAGAATTGTGTTCCAGTGGAAACAAAGCCACCCACCACCACCCATTGCCACCGCCACAAGGAAGCTTCATTGCCTATATACAGAATATACTTGTGTACATATATTTCCACTGTTCCAGACGAAAAAGAAAGATGAGATAGTTTGACGTTTAAGGCCCGGCATTACACCCCCTCCACCCGCCTATTACGGACTTTGATTTGTGTGTTATTACTGTCAACCACCCATAACTATTATAAAGCAGGTCAAACAGACATTTTTCTTTTCTTCCTATTCACTTTCCTTCATTTTCCTCTCCTTTTCCTTTCCTTTCCTTTCCGCTCTGCTTCTGCTTCTGCTTCTGCTTCATCATAACTCTCTTCTGTCACCTTTTCCCCTTCTAAGTTCAGCTTTTGTGTTACTTTTTGTTTTCTTATTTGCTCCAAAAGTAGCTAACTTTACTGGTTCTTTCTTCTTCCTGTGTAAAATGGAAAAGGAAAATATGTTTCTGAATTGTGGGTCAGAACAGTTTCAGAATTTTTTCTGGGAAAATTCAATGGATCAGAATGATCCATTTGAGTCTGCATTGAGCTCAATGGTTTCTTCTCCTGCTGCTTCGAATGCTGCTGGCGCTGGCAAAAATGGTGGAGAGAATATTGTAATAAGAGAACTGATTGGTAGACTAGGAAGCATATGCAATTCAGGGGAAATTTCCCCTCAGCCTGGAAATAGAAGTACTAATACTTCATGCTATAGCACCCCCCTGAATTCTCCTCCAAAGGTTAATCTTTCAATGATGGATAATCAAATCCGGGGGAATTTGCAAATCCCTGGAAATAACTTTCCAAGCTTTACACCATTTTCGACCGATCCAGGATTTGCGGAAAGAGCTGCAAGATACTCTTGTTTTGCAAAACTTGGGTTGAATAATGATTCTGAATTGCCTCATAGATTGAAGCCTAAGCTGGATTCTGGTAATATCTCCAGAGTTTCGAGTAATCAGTCCTTCAAAATTTCTGGATCTCCTCAAATTGGTGTTCAAGAAAAACAGAATGCTCCACTCCAGGAAGGAATTTCAGCCTCTGATAAAAGATTTGGCAGGTTTTCGAGATCTTCAACGCCTGAAAAAACAGAATTTGGGGATTCCAGGGAGAACTCTTCAGTTTCTGAGCAGATCCCAGTTGGGGGAAATGTCATCAAAGGACAAATTTTTTCAAATTCAAGAAAGAGGAAATCTGTTCCAAGGGGAAAGGCTAAAGAAATCCCTGCCAAAGATGCCAATGTAAGCTAATTTCTCTTCAAGCATTTGTGGTTTTGAATTCCTGATTTTGGAAATCAAAGTAGTAACACATTTGATTAATTCAATACAGGTTGCATCAGAAAGCAGTGAATCAAGTGCAAAAAGAAGCAGGTCAGATGATGAAGGTTCAATTGAAAAGGGTAATGCAAAAAAGGCTGATGTAAATGAATTTGATAAAGCCATTGGAGATGGAAATCAGAAACAATCAAAGGAAAATACGAAGCCTCCAGAGCCTCCAAAGGACTATATTCATGTTAGGGCTAGAAGGGGACAGGCAACAGATGCCCATAGTCTTGCTGAAAGAGTAAGAATTTACTGAAATTTTACAGTTAGGGATTCCGATTAACGATTGCCATATCCTTTCTGACAATCTTTGTTTTGACAGGTTCGACGAGAGAAGATTAGTGAAAGGATGAAATTCCTACAAGATCTAGTCCCTGGTTGCAATAAGGTATTCGATGAAATGCCAATTAGAAGTAGCGTTAAGGAAACGAAATGTTCATGACTTTAACAAGAGAAATGTCCAGAAATCTAAGCATATACCATTCTGTTTTTCATTATTCTTAGGTTACTGGAAAGGCCGTAATGCTTGATGAGATCATAAACTATGTCCAGTCTTTACAACGACAAGTCGAGGTATAAAGATTCCTCCATAATTTGCTACACAATTTACTTGCTATGTAGAAAGTGTGCTGATGTTTTTACTTGTTTAAACATGTAGTTCCTTTCGATGAAATTGGCTACTATTAATCCAAGGATGGAGTTCAATATGGAAGCTCTAATGTCCAAGGATGTAAGAATCATTTAGTTTTTTATTTTTTGAGTTTAAGAACGCCTCTTGAATTTGCCAGTAGTTAGTAGTTAACGATCTTACAATCTTACTCGATTTCAGATGTTTGGTTCTCGTGGATCTTTGCTTCATAACTTATATACATCAGATGCATATCCTGTCCAGTCTCAACCAGGACAAAACTTGCATAATATCATTCCTAATGGAACAGAAATGCCTTTGCAAAATACTCCTATTAGTCGAAATCAAAGCATTCAAATGCCTCCTCTGGACAATGCTAGTGAACCTGTTTCTCAGGTAAATATATAACTCAAATTAAGTGAAAATATTCTCTTCATTTCTTATCCGATTACTTAAGAATGCTGATCGGCTCATTTTATAGGTTTCAACATTCTGGGAGGATGATCTCCAAAGCCTTGTTCAGATGGGATTTGGCCAAAATGAGACCCAAAGTTTTCATGGTTAGCATCTACCGCACGAATAATAGATCATAAGTATATTTTACACGTACAGATATATTGAATATATGATATCTTATTCTTGGCTCTAATGCAGGGATTCTCCCCACTGCTCAAATGAAGGTCGAGCAATGATCAACATTTGTCAGCGTCGTTAACTATATTTATTTGAGGCCCCAAGTGAGAGAGGCTTCTGTATATACTGAGAACTTGTAGTTCAAAAAGATTTGATGATCGAATCCAAGAACGAGAACGTTTTCTCTTCGACTATCATTACGTATTTGATAATTGTTTTGGCAAATGATTCTTTGGAGAATTTTAACTCTTACCATTGTAGAATCAAGAACTAATATATTGCACCAGATGGTGTTAAAGACTCTGAAGGTCAATGTAACATGTTTATTTTTGGCAAGGTAAAAAGTTGTTTGATGAGACAGAAATTTCTCATGTAACCTATTATTTCTACCTTGTTTTTCTGTATTTCCTTAAAAATATTCAGAATTAATCTTATGTTCTTCCATTCATTTCTTGTGTGACTTTTGCTCCAACTATCTGTTACTTTGTTTGTGAACTATAAATGTGGTTTGAGGAAAGTTTATTATACTGAGAAGCAAGAATTAAAATTCCACTACTGATGTTATGGATTATGTCTTAACCGGTACTATAGAGAACAGTAACAAAAATTAAATAAACACAGCATAGACGAAGTTATTGGTCAATACCAATGTTATAAGATACTGGACGATTTGACCAGAAAATAAGAAATCGATTATAAATTCGATTTATTTACGTGTAAGAGTTGCTTAAAAGTTTAGAAACTTGCTAGTTCACCAATAGACTGGACGCGCACGAATCAATAGAAAGGATTTCAATGTCCCCTCTCTAGATAAGAAGCAGAATGTGTCATCAGAACTGGTTTTACTGGTTATATGATTCTTCTTTTACAAAAAAGTATCAAGATTTTGACCATTGACATTTTAAGTTTTTCATGTTGATGCTTGAATCGATTTTTGAAACATTGGTTAACATTAAACATGAGAGAGATGTTTACTTGTATTTTCACTGTAATTTGAATACAAATTTTCGTGATACTCGCTTACTCGAAGCAATCGAAAAATTAATTATTAGTGAATTTCTACAAAATCAATTTTCTTTCACAAATGTCATTTTCAGGGAAGAATTTGATTGTGGGACCTTTTAATAAGAACATTTTAACCATAAATCAAGTGACTTGCAGAGGATTGGATTCTTATCTGTAACCAGCTGTTAGTGGGGACAAATTGTCCCTAAAATTCATCTGGTTGATTAAGAATTATGAAGAAATACATACAGAAGATTAGCTGGAATCCAAAAGTCACTTCGGAAAAAAAGGAAAAAAAGAAAAAAAAAAGAAAAACCTTTAACTTACTGTACAAATAGTATTTAACTAATGAAAACAGTGACTTTCTCTTGGTCCCTTCTAGAAATTTATATGAGTCTTGTGATCACAGGTTGGAAATAGTGAAGTTCTTACTAATATTTAAAAGCATGTTTGGCTTACTTTGAAAAAAAAATACAACTTTTAAGACCTGCCAAACAAGCCCAAATGTTTAGCTTTGTATGTTTCACGTAGAATAGTAAAAGTTGGTTATCATCTTTGATTTCTCATTCTGATATAAAGGAGAATCTTTATGCTTTAGTTTCCTTCTGTTTAGTGATTATCGATATGGATTATCTTTTGGTAACCTTTTTGAACGGTGAACCGTTTGGTATTAGCAAAGTTTTATCGCATTTGTTGATTAGATCCCGTGAATGACATAGATATGGATTATCTTTTTGCGTCTATTACTGAAAATATTTTAAAGCTCTTTTAGTATTAGTGGGGTTTTTTCGTCCCCGTTCATGAATATGTAAAGTGTCTAATTGCGTAAATTCTGTTTGTTGTCTCTCTTTTAAATTTTGTGGAAAAAAAAATTCAATTATTGGACATTTTTGGGAAATATTAAAGATTATAAAATCCCATCCACTTCACAAAGAAATGACAAGAGAGAAAGGATAAGTAGAATAATAAAAGTAGTGGAGAGGAGATGTAGAGAGAGATTCCTAGATAGACAACCTTTTCATTAAAGGCTGTCAGAAAACCCTAGTTTCTCAACTCCAACAAAAGAAATTTGCAATCTCATCTTGTTACAATTTTATTTTTATTTTTGGAAAAAGAGGAAAGAAAATTTAGTTTTAGCAATCTCATCTTACTTAATAATACAGAAATTTTTCAAATATTTTCCCTACTAGTGTACTACACACACGCGCTTTCTATTTTGGTGTCTTGTCTGGCTCATATAGTATTATATTATTTCTTGCCAATATTCAATGTATCGTGTGGAAAAAAAGTTTAAAGTCACTTAAAAATATAGTTTATATTCACTCCTATTTTCTCATTCTATGACTGCTAGAAAAAAAATTGATATAACATTAATAATAAATTAATTATTGTAGAAATAATCGTAAAATATGTTAATAACTTAAATTGTTAGATGAGGCGTTTAATATGATATCAAAGCAGACAAATGACCGAAATATGAATTACCTATAATGAAAATGAATTTGATTTGAACATGAGTTTAACATATAAGTAACTTTTTTCTTCTATAGTAGCTTAAATTTTTATAGTATTTAGCTTAAGAAATACGTTTTATAATTCATTATCGCTTCCAAACTTGAATTTCGAGCTCACAAACAATGATAAACTAAACCTAGTCCAAATATTCTAATTTTGCTTTAATAATTAAACCAAAATACATTAGTAAGACTTGCAAACAAGTATACTTTATTTTCATTGTAAGATAATATATATATTTTTTAATTAAAATAAATCATTTTTTTACTAAAAAGTAAGAAAAAAATAATTTATTTAACAATTTAATTAAAAGTAACTTTTATTCCTTTCCATGCTTAGACAAACATGCTGTTACCTTTTTCAAAATATTCCACCTCTGCCTTAATAATTAAACCAAAATAATGAAGTTTTTCAACTCTCACAGGAGATTCTTAATTCTCACAATCAAACCTAATCAAAGAAGATTTGTTCTAATATAAAGTCAACTTGGTAGAGGTAAAATTTTGCATTTTGACTGCAGAGAGTAAGAAAAAATCATAGTTTTCCATGAATTACTCCGGACATAACGAAAAAAGGGTCCACAGTGAGAAATGGTTAGGAGAAATTGATGTAATATGTTTGTTTTGTGGGGATAATTGAAAATGATTAGTAGGAAAGGGTCCATTTATCCAGGCTGTCACTCTTCCCACAATGCTGTACAATTACACCTTCTTTCACTTTATGTCCCTTTCTTTCAACTTAACAAGCATTTGTTGTTTGCTTTAACTAGTGTTTGGTATGATATTTCATTTGGGGTGGGTGGGTTGGGGGGGTGGAGGGGACATTGTGTGAAAAATTATCATTTTGTTTACCAAACAAATAATCAAGTTCATGCATAATTGGCAACCTCTCTATCTTGAAAGTCTATAACAAGATTAGTAATCGAGTCAAAAAGTGAAGGTGTCGATTGTAGGAGACTTGTGTGGTTGGGTTATGTTTTTGTTGACGCAAGGGGGCCTCCATTCATAAAAGTGATGTGATTACGTATGAACAAAGACGGAATGGAAGACCAAAGTTAAACTGACTATCGTAGTTGGTAATAAATTTTAGCTTCTTATTATTGTTGACTAGACGTCGAAGAAATGTTGAAGGATTCATCAAGTAATTGCCACTATTAAATTTGAAAAAAAAATATATTTTTCAATTAGCAACTTAAACTTTTGCATGACGTAGTTTAACATAGTAATAAGCATCTTAGATTCTAGTCTTTTGCCGATATCTATGAAATTGTGATGTGAGACTATTCAAGGAAAAATGATCTTTTATGTGTGCTCAGTCACTAACAACTCCAAGAAACGTTAATTCAAATTGTAAATGTACTCGTGAAGGATTCTATAGGTGAATTATTCTAAGAAAGTGAGAAAGCGAGACAATTATTTTCAAGACAACTTACTAAAACATGCATTTGATAGTGTTTCTAGAGTGATTATAAATTACCTCCAAAAGAATCTTTACATGGCTTAGACTTCGATTTTAAACAAAAAAATAAATTAAAAAAAAATTCCCCATTTTTATGGAGTTTCTTAATTCTTAAATCTGTGGCCCTGTTACATTTGGATTATTTTGTGAAAGAATTTTTTGACCTATAAAAAGTGGAATTTATGCTTGTGGAAATTATCAAGTAATTGGAGATGAAAAAGAAAGCCCGAAATTTTGTGAACAATGCGAAGTCGAATTTGTCGATTCTCGCATACGAAGATATCAAATGGGCTACATCAAACTTGCATGCCCAGTAACCCATGTGTGATATTTAAAACGTCTTCCTAATTATATTACGAAACTTTTAGATAAACCTCTTAAAGAATTAGAAGGCCTGAATTGTCTTCCAAAACTAAATGAAAAATAGATATTTTTCACATTTTTAGTGGCCAATGAATTTGAGGAATTTGGAATTTGGAGCCTACTAAGGTTCTATTCTGTCATCACTTATGAAATTAATATGCTTCTTCTTTAAAGGTGTGGTTAGGAAAATATACATGTCAGAGAAGACAATGTTACAAGCTACTTGTTTTCTTGGTCTCCATGAAATTATACACTTTGAAACCTTAAGGCCGCCAAACTTAGCCCTGTTTGACAACTATTATTTGATAAAAAAATAATGTTTTGAATAGTGATTTTTAAAAGAATGTGATTAAAAAGTTGAGAAAAGTCTTGAATTTAGGTGCAAAATATTTTATTGTATGAATGTATGATTAAAACTGAGTATGTAGAATAAAGATTTTTCAAATAATAGTTATCAAGGTAGCTTTAAGTACTTGTGGACTACCTTTTGCTATTAGCTTATTTTTCATAATTGAAAATAACAAACAACGTAAGCCCACTTGAAGATTGCCCCCTATTCTCTTGACACCACCCCAACAAACAAATAAATGATCTTGAGCTAGTAACATCAATGTGGGTTTCCTATGTCTTTCCACGTCTCATTGTCTCAATGCCGGGTCCACCCTATCCACAACATACCAAAAAATGCATGTGGTGTGCGGGCACGGGCACAAGCACGAGTGCTCGTGTTCAACTTGAGACCTGATAACTTGAACATATCAGTAATTTATCAAATTTGAGGATGTAAAAGAAGATTGATTGATGGAGGCTAATGTAGCTCAAACTAAATACAAATGAACATCGTCGCCTCCTCAGACAATTGGTGCAATCGTTTATATCAATAGAAGATGGGAAAGGATTATACTTAGCTATATGTGAGTCTGTTTGTAACATACAACAATGAACTGTGCTAAAATGCAACAAACCAGCAGAGAATTTGTATCTATATGTTGCAACGGTCATATCCAGCAAACCAAGAAGAAGGATCTTCTTCGATATCATAGGAGGGTGCAAATTCTTCTTGCCATTGCTGATTACCATCATCAACATGCCTACCGTCAGCAGCAAATCC